TACAGACTACCAGTAAAGTTGACGCACAAGCTTTCTGATCTTCTGTCTGAAGTATGAAGCAGCCCTCCTGGAATGTGCACACCAACACCAATCCCGACTCTTCTTTGTAAAACAGTCCTCCTGGAATGAGCACATGAACTCCAATCTTGATACTTTACGCAGTTTATCTCCTGTAGATCTTTCCAAAAAACTCATCTTTCTTCAAACTCTTCTTTGATCTTTAATGCAGCACAATTGACGACACAATCTTACAGCAGATCCAAGTGAAGAAACCAATTCAGTGTTTGATTTGATAGCTTTGATGTTTTCAATGAAAAAGGCTCATAAACAATGAAGGATTGAACTTAGGATCTTGTTTATGATGTATTCTTCTTGAATAATGTGTTGTTCAATCCCTCTATCAGAAAATACGGCGCCTTCAATATATAGGTTGGACGAACTAGGTTGTATGGACCGACTAAAAATCTCAAAGAAGGAAAATTAGGTTTTTCAGTAAAATACGTCGCTCAAGCGAATATGCTTTCTTGTTCGAGCGAAGGGTTTGTCACTCGAGCGACAGTGGGGCGAGAATCGAGCGAAGGAGGTTCTGCTTCAGTCGCTCGAGCAACACTCCGGCGAGCAGTTAGCGAAAATTCGACATGAATTCTTCTTGTTCCAAACACTTAACCCCAAACCCTAAGCTAATCCTACCAACTATAAAACTTTACAATTTAGTCCCTAAACTTTTATAAATGTTCAAGTTGGTCAATTTGTTCACAGAGTCGCCAATACAAAATATAAACCTAACACATGTAAATTATTAATTAGATATGCTTGATTTGTTCAATTTTTAACTTAGAAAATATTGTACTCGTTCATCTTTTATTGATAAATGAGATAAAAGAAGTTGATGAGAGAGAGAGTAAATTGCTTCGAAAATAAAAATCAACTCCTCCATAAAAAAAATTATTTTCCTTGTTTTAGAGAAAAAAAATGGCCGGAGCAAGTACAACCTCTTTTACCTGGCTTCGACGTCAACAGTCGGAGCTGGAGCAGCGAACACAGGTAAAAGATGAGCGAATGTCAACAGGTAAAAGAGGAGAGACAACCTGTTGACGTTCGCTGCTCTTTCTCTCTCCTCTTTTACCGGAGTAGGAGCAGAGAAGCCGTCGGCGGGAGAGTGGGAGAAGGAGCGGGAGAGGGAGAGGGAAGGAAGATTGGGTAATGATTTGGGATTTTGGGATTTTTAGGGTTTTTGTAGTATTAAAGATTTGAATTAATATTCGATTTTTGTATAAATATATTTTATATCTGATTTTTGAAATAGAATTTTTAAAAGTCTGATTTTGTGTAATTTCCTAAAAAAATAATAATTATTGGAATCAAGAAAGGCCCAAAGGCCCCATTCAAAGACCTTTTAATATAATGCGTGAGGTGTGACTCGAACGCCCGACCTTTCACACAAATTCTGCACTTTTCACCAATTGGGTACTTCATCTGAATTAATTATTTCTTTCACATATTATATTTATTGTATAAATATCTAACATAGTCATGGCTTGGACACATGAAAATGGCACATAAATTGATTTGGAAAGAGAAACTTTTTGATTATGATGATTATTCTCCAATTACAGGTGAAGGAGAAGATACTGAAGAACCAATTATTGGTGGTGATCAGGCGATAATTATAAAATTCGAAGATTTTAATGAAGTTGAGGATACTAAGATTAAGAAGAAGATAACATTGGGTCTAGACTACGAGAATGTGATTTTGGCTTGGGATGAACAAAGGTCCATGTGGTATCTACAGGACTTACTGCAATAAATATTGTAGAATGTCTACAAAAGGAGGCATATCTCATGATTTGACACGAGGGTTTGCAGAGGGCATTTAACGAAGGATCTGATGAAAATGGAAGGAAATGATGTTTCATGCAATCAAATGTGTAATTAATGGTGTGTTTGAACCACATTATTTTGGAAGAATGTATTTTGGAATAGTTGATTGATGGAGAATGTGTGGTTGAAAAAGAAAGAAAAGTTATTGATGTGAATCATGTGATGAAAAATATTATTTTATTGAAAAATGTGTGGTTGAAAATGAGTAGAAGAATGTAAATGAAAATTTTAATGTGGCTCAATAGGGGCTAAATGTGAAAATGTCAAAGGTATGAACGCTTCTTACACTAATGGTGAAATGTAAAAATATTATGTTCTAATTAACCTAAGAGAAAATTCCAATTTATTTTCAATCATTTGATTTTACACGTTCTACCATGATTAACTATTTTGTCACATACAAAAATATTTATAATTATAGAATAATAAGTTAATTATCTCAATAATTGCTGAATTTATGTCTGTGCATTCGACCACTATCTGAAGTTTTAAATGTTGAGTTTTGACCACTAAACTTATCAAAATATTGAATATTACTCATGACATGACATTCATTATTTAACTTTAACGAAAATGGTGACATGAAAAATGGAATGAACATGTAGTGTAGCTCATGGCACACTACATTGCCACATAAAAAATTCGTTTTTAATTGCTCACTTTACTTTAAGGTGGTCTGATTTTGGCTTCTAAACTTGTAAAACTAACGTCGATCTGTCTTGGATATTTAAGAATGCTTTTGAAGTATCATTTTTGTACAATAAACTAAATTTGTAATATACTTGAGTTTTGTTGCAATTCTTTTCATATTTGATCTATAATCTACATTAACAACAAGAAACACTGGATTTTTTAGATTTTTTTGGTGTACATTTTTTGTTGCAAAGAAATATCTGACTGTTTTTCGATGTATATTCTTTGCTGTAAATTTAGATTATGAATTTTTTGACGAATATCATACATTTTTTTGTTCAAATTAGTCATCAGAATCGTCAATATTTTCTTGCGGTTAATGTAGATTATAAATCAAATATGAAAATAAGTGCAACAAAACTCAAGTATATTGAAAAATGTTTTGAAATATTCCTTTATAACATGTTGCAATATTATTTTATTGTATGAAAATGATACTTGAACAACATTTCTAAATTTTTAGGACATGCCGACATTAATTTTACAAGTTTAGTGGCCAAATCTCAACTACCTTAAAGTATAGTGAGTAATTAAAGATGTTTTAAAAGTACACCGAGCACTTAAATACGTTTTTCAAAGTACAATCAATAATGAAAGATTAATTTTTTTACATGACAATTTGGTGTGTCGTGAGCTACACCACCTATGCATACCATCCGTTACATCACCAATTTCGTTAGAATCAAATAAAATATGTCATATGAGTGCGCAACATCTAACATTTTGATATATTTGAAATTCGATATTTGAAACTTCGTCCAAATACTTACATAAATTCGGTGATTATTGGGACAACTTTATAATTTTTAATTTCTTTTGGATAAAATCGCATCACCCAAAAAAGGACCAAGGCAAACACTGTGCTATTTTCTGTATCTTCCAAAACCCTAATTCAATCTTCCTTTTACTGAGGAGTCTCAGCATCCAAATTCTGGCGGTTCGACGAACCTGACCGCCGTTAATTGCCGAATCTGAATTCGCTGCGGCAGCATGGACTTCGATGAGTATGATTACCTAGAAAAGGCGGTGGAAGAAACTAAAGTCCCGTCCAAAACCGCCGAAAAAAAGGAAACTTCTGACAAGGAAAAAGACAGAGACAGGAGCGAAAAGGGATACAGACGAAGAGACAGGAATGAAGATGATGACTTGGACGAAGAAGAGAGGGATCGAAAGAGCAGCGGCAAAAAATCGCGAATAGACAGGGATAATGAAGAGAATGGACGAGACAGAGACCGCGACAGGGAGCGTGATAGGGAAAAGGAGAGAGACCGGGATAGAGAGAGGAGCTCGAGGCGTAGGAGTTCCGACAGGGATTTGGAGCGGGAAAGGGATAGAGAGAGGCGGAGCTCGAGGGAACTCGAACGGGATAGGGAGAAGAGAGACAAGGATAAGGAGAGGGAAGGGGAAAGGGAAAGGGATAAGGACAGGAGGGAGAGGGAGAAAGAGAAGGAGCGAGAGAAGAGGGAGAGGGAAAAGGAAAGAGAAATGGAAAAGGAAAAGGAGAAGCCGAGGAGTAGAAGTCGACCTAGGCTGGAGCATGAAAGGGATAGGGAATTGATGAGAGGAAGGGAGCATGAACTGCGCGATAGCAGGTGATGTCTAATGCATTTTCTCTTATTAAAGCCGATCTCTAATGAATCGCTTCTCATTTTTTCTTTCATCAGTCTTTCATTTGCTTTTAATCCAAATTTGGCTTGGAGATTTTAACTTGAAAGCCTTGATTTGTTCTTCACTTTCAAATTTGCGGCGAACTCATGCTATGGTACTAACTCAAGAGTCAGTTTATTCGATTAGTGAAATTATGACTTTCTGATGAAATGCCTTTGATTGGGGTTGTTTTTGTTTGCGTTTCCTATCAGAATTTGTTTTATTTTTATTATTTGAAAGAGAGCGAGGTGAGCTACTGAAATTTGAATATTCTGTTAAGGGTTTAACTTGAACAGTTGAACTCAAAACTTCAAGATTTCAGCTTTTGATTTTTTTTTTTTCAAAAGTGATGTTATATACTACACACTGTTCTTGGAAAGTATTGCGGTTTTATTGTAGTTTAGAGTGCTTCACCTTATAACCATCGAGATTTTCTAGTTGTGACCAGGGTTGAAGCACGGAGGAAATGTATAGAAAATGTTGTCATTGCAGGGAAGTGTAAATTTATGCATAGAGGATGTAACATTTTACTTGGGTTGATAAAGTAGATGGATTGTTTCACATCTTAATGGGCTTTCAACAAGTAAACACCTCGGAGGTTTCTTCAATGAAGAAATTGATTTTTCCACACACTGAATTGATTAGGTTCGATGTTTCTTTCTGGGCTTTTAGATTTGGCTAACACCTCCACCCTTCTAGTGTTTTGCATAGCTGGATTTGAGGTTGCTTTCTTTCCTCCGAGCTGAGATTTTGACCAGTGATGTATTGAATTTTTTGCGTTTGCGATTCTTGTGTGAGCTGTATCAGTTTTTCAATGTTTCGTAACTTCAGAGATGAAATTGCTAAAGCTCCATACTGCAAACAGCAATTTTACTTTTTTCGAAATTGTACAAATTTAACACATCTCGAATATGTTTAGTGTGTTTTATGAAGTATTGAAATTTGTAATATATTTGAGTATGGATAGTGATTAATGAATTCATGGGAGAAAATTATTAAACCTCCATATGAATTTGTTGCTTAGATATAGTTGACAGAAGAGTGGCTTGTAAATTTTCATTCTGGCTACTACATTGAGATTTGAAAGAGATTTTTAACTATGTATTTCAAATATCAATGGTTGAGGAATTTTCTGGATGTGCACAGCGCAAATTAAAGTCTTTCCAACTACTGGTTGATCCAAAAATGTACTTGACAATTAAAAATATCAATTTGTTTATTCATCAAAATAATCAAGCTGTTGATCCTCTTGGTTTCCTTTAATAAATTTTTGTCATACTTTGCGAGCTCAACGATGGTCATGAACTTGTGGATTACCTAGTTATGTTGCTTGACTTTTTTGAGATGCACAAATGTTGTTTTCACTTGTTCTTTTGTTATTTCTGTTCTGTTGCTTTCGAGCACGTGAGCGTTTTATGATTATTTTGGCAAATGGTTATATTGTTTGTTTTGCTGTATGTCTAGTGAAATGGGCTGTGGCATTTGGAAAAATTATCCAATAGGTTGTTTTTCTTTTCTGTTTTCTTTACTTATTGTAAAAATCACTCTTCTGGTTAGGAGTTAGCCATGTAAATTGGAACGAACTACGAGGAAGATGCTGGCATGGAGTTTTTGGGGGTGAAAATTCGTTAACCCCGGGGGAGTCTTAAAAACAAGGGTGTGAGATTATGTTCTTACAACGAATCTCTAGCAGGCTTGAGGCCACTGATATATTGATATTGGCCTTCTCCTATTATTGGCTTTATACTTATTATTCTTAGAGTTGTTAATGCAGGAGATTCAAGGATAAGAAAGAAGCAACAGAGCCTGAAGCTGATCCAGAAAGGGACCAAAGAACTGTTTTTGCCTACCAGGTTTGTTGGTTGACGGATTATACTTGCATCTCAAGGATCAAACACAGAAATTTTAGCAAGTCACATACTTTGTTTATGTTTGGAATGAGCATGTGACAACGGCTTAGATAACTGTTAATCTGTTATTTGATTTCCCAACATTTCTTGTTTGCAGATGCCTCTGAAAGCCACAGAGAGAGATGTTTATGAGTTCTTTTCACAAGCTGGAAAGGTATGCAAATGTTTTTTGAAAGATGACATGGTTTGATCCTAGAAGATAAGCTTTATGTTTTGGATATTACTTTTCTTATTTTTGGTTTGTTGTCTTCTTTATTTAGGTCTGTTCTTGTTTCGTTCTCTACTCCAACTTCAAGAGTACATATTAGATTTGAAACTCTACACAAAAATGGCTTGCAACCTTTATTTCCTTTCCTTCTCTTCTTTTTATCATTTTTAACTATCTTTTATCGAGGTCAAAGCCTAGGTTTACTATTTACATGGATATCTCCTTTTATTTGTTTACTGTTTTATGTGATTAGCTAATTGTAATATTAAGTCCCTGTTTGGTACATATTCTATAAAACTCATTTTTCTCGAAACTCAGGTTCAACCACACATTCTCCCAATAAATAGTTTTGCATAATACTTATTAACCTCTCATTATCCAAAAAAATCACTTCTCACAAAATCTATTCTAAAAATGTTACATAAGACAAGCCCTAAATACTGTCTGTAAACAAAATGTCGTTTATCTCGAGTTATCTTGGGCTGTTCTACATGGTGGGGCCCATGACTTGTTTCTGTGATTGCTGTCTAAATTTGTTTTTTATTTTCTTCATTGCCATAAGTTCTCCAAAACCTTTCTACGCCAAGAATTTTATCAAAAAAATTCAATCTTCTCAAGGAAAAGACCAAATTGTTCTATTTTTTGTGAATTTGTATAATCATTCAGAGCCATATAATTGCTTATTTGCTGTCTTATTGGAGGCTGGAGCTTATCTATTAAACGCTCCTCTGCCTTCAGTTGCTGAATACAATCACTTTCTTGTGCATCAAATTTTTACATGCAGGGGGTAGTGTGAATGGGTTCATGATAGTCTTCTGGTACTTCATATCCTATATTACAGTAGTAGCGAGGCATAAGATGGTTTTGAAGTTCTTCTCTCTTCCAGCTTCCCTTATTTAAAAATTTATATCTTTATATTTTTCATTTCATCTCCAGGTAAGGGATGTACGACTTATTATGGATCGGAATTCAAGGCGATCAAAAGGAGTTGGGTACGTTTGTGCTTATCTTGGTCATATTGTGTTTCCTTTGTCGTTGCATCATGACTCTCTTGGTACACGGGAACAATGTTTTAGGTTTGATAAATATTGAATTCTTCTCTTCTCCAGTTACCGATTCTGTTCCTCTAGACTAGAAGCAGTTCTCTTGAATCTCTTCAGACCTTTGTCATGTTGTCTTCAAAATTGTATATTTCAAAGAAGTGAATTTGTGGATGTTACATGTAGTCTTGGCTAGTGAGAGAATCAACAATGTCTGACTCAATCCTTTTACGGTTCCTGCACTAAATGCCTACTATCAACCGAAGCCCTTAATATTAATTTTGATTCTTCAAATTGAAGGCTATCAAAGATATTTTATCAACAAATTTTGGAGCCATTCATACCTTTTTCATCCTTGCTCATCTCTCCAGATGGGGATATATAATGGAGAAGTAATACAGCAATGATACGAGTCTAAATTTTCATTTTCTGGTGACAGATGTCTAATGTTTTTCAAGTTTCACTTTGCAGGTACTTGATGATCTGATTTGTTTAACATACGTAATTTATGGTTTATAAGAGTATGTTAGTCTGATATATTTTAATATCTCAAGTAAAAGATCGAAAGCCTTTGAGCTCTATTCCATTCCAATGTACTTTCACATTCTCAACATATAAATGCCAATGCCAGTGTCTTTGAAACTAGACTTCAGCTGTACTGAATCGTTCTTGTTTATGATTCAGTGGTCAACCACTCCAATTAATTCACTTTTGTCAAAATGTTATGCCATCAACAATATTTTAAATTTAAAATGGAAAATTAAGTCCTAAAATAATGTAAGGTAGCACATTAAGCCCTTGTTTGGCCCCTGTTATAATGAAAATTTTGGAATAGTAATTTTTCGGAGAATGTGTGGTTAAAAAAGAATGAAAAGTTTTGGGTTTACGTGTAATATTATTTTGTTGGAGAATGTGTTGTTGATAAGGAGAGGAAAAAATGAATTATAATTTTAATGGGCCCAAAACAGGGGCTAAATTTTATATGGCCGTTAGTCTATCACGATTAAATTTATAAAACTTAGACAATTCCAGAAAGGATAGGCTAATTTGTCGCTCTGGTTTTACCTTGATTTTTTTGACTGAGCCTTTTCAAAAGCCTGCCAATACCTTGACGATGCGGTCTGTACTTTGTGATTAACATATCATATACGCTGATTTATAATACCCCTTATGTCTGCTATGAAGGGGAGCTAGTATGTTTGTGAGGCACCGCGTGTCACGAAGATGCTCCTATATGTTCCTCACTTATGTTGCATGCGATATCATTTTGTTCTGTAACTAGCTGTAAAGATTTTTGTCCCCCTTTTTAGTGATTGACTTGGTAATTATATAACCTGACTACAGATACATTGAATTTTACGATGCTATGTCTGTGCCGATGGCTATAGCTCTGTCTGGCCACCTTCTCTTTGGACAACCAGTAATGGTCAAACCTTCTGAGGCTGAAAAGAATCTTGTTCAATCCAATACTACTGTTGGTGGTTCAGGTGTTGTCGGACCTTATGGTGCTGCAGATAGGAAGCTGTATGTGGGCAATTTACACTTTAACATGACAGAATTTCAGCTTAAGCAGGTAAAGACTTGGCACCACCATTTATTGTAGCACATATCTTAGTATTACGCTGTTATTCCGGATTACTTCGTAACAGCATAACATTTTCTGAGGAAGAAAGATCTGGAGGTTAAGACATTATATGGTATCTAAAATTAAGTGCCAGAGGATGAACTTGGTATACTACTGAGAAATCACCCCTCTGTTTTGCTCCTTGTTGCAATTTTTTCTGTCTAAAATGAGCGTCTCACAGTCGTTTGTGGTGAAATAGCCTCTTCGTTTAGCTTTCTATTAAGTTGATCCACCATTGCTGATTTCAATATGTTCGAACAAGTAGAAATATGAGTTGTGTTCCTCATAAACTAAAAATCTGAATGAAGAGTGTTGTGTGAAAGATATGACACGCACCTTACGACATTTATTTTCTTGAAAGTTAAAAATTATTCTAAAATTGGGGACACTCAATATTGGGATTTGAGTTTTGGGGGGTAGGGGGTACTTATTTGACGTTGTACGAACTGTAGTCATTCTTCATGTTAAAATGGTGAGAGTATAATTAATTTAATCCGGAGGACAAATATTTGGATCTTTATGTAAGCTATTCAATTTTAGTTAATAAATAATATTTTGTTAACCAGTTTGAAAGTGAATGTCAAATAATTAACCTAAGAACTGTTATGAGAAATTGGGAATTATGCTTCAGGGGCAAGATAGAAACGACCTCGATATATATTTGCTACTCAATGCCTATGCATTGAAGATGTGTAGCTCATGAACTTTTCTCAACATAGTATCTCTTCATAAGTATGTTAATGGATCAGGCTAATTGATTTCTAAAATATTCGACTTATTTGTATTTTACTACCTTCTCCATCATGTCTCCTTTAGCTCACGATAACTATTTTTGAGTTTTGTTCAAATCTTGGTGTTGATTTTTTCTCCTAGATTTTCGAAGCTTTTGGGCCTGTTGAACTTGTGCAACTGCCTACGGATCCAGAGACAGGACACTGTAAAGGTTTTGGATTTGTTCAAGTCAGTATTTTCAAGAATTCTCTGCATTGAAAGTTTCGTCGTGTTCCATTGAGTTTTAATGTTATCACCATCTATTGTAACATGAAACCTATTGAATTGATATTTTCCAGTTTGCGCAACTTGAACATGCTAAGGCAGCAGAGAGTTTGAATGGTAAACTGGAGATTGCTGGTCGGACCATCAAGGTACTAAACTTGTACCATTTTAGCTTCATTTTCATTTTTGTTCATTTCTGAGACTTCATCGCTTTCTATTTTGAATTCATTACAGGTTTCATCAGTTACAGATCATGTTGGAGTGCAAGATTCTGGAACAAAAACTGCAGATTTTGATGATGATGATGGGGGTGGTTTGGTGAGAAGTTTTTTAAATTGCGTTATGGTTATTAACTAATTATGCTTCAATTATTGTCCCTAGTCGCCCAATGGTATTTCAAACTTTTACTGAAACTATAAGGTGCTTGCAATTATGCTTTGAAGTTCTTATTTTGATCATGCATTTTTTTCTTCTACGCTGGTATTTGATTTCTCCTTTGGAGGTGGTGATTAAATGTCATTGACCAAGGATATGGACACATCAATTCAAATTTACGAGTAATGGAGTGCACTTTGTTTATGGGAAATGCAATTGTATCGATCCGATTTGAAATTTCACTTCAGGAATATTAGCTATCTAATCTGTTTCTGTTTTGCAACATATTCTTAGAATCTTTATTCATTATTGTTTGCATAATCTCTACAGTCTTTAAATGCTCAGTCAAGAGCATTGCTCATGCAGAAGCTGGATCGCAGTGGTACTGCTTCTAGGTTTGTATAGGATTTCATGAAATCCATACCTTTCTTTTGCGACTGTCAACTCAAACTCGATTATCCTTTCCAGTGTCACGGGGCCCATCGGAGTGCCTGCTCTCAATGGATTGGCTCCACAACAGTCTATCAACTTGCCAATGAACCCATCAACAGTTCTCCATCCCCCGGTTCTTCCAACACAACTGGTTTCTATGGCTCCAGAACCTATTGGGAACCCCAGTGAGTGTTTGCTATTGAAGAATATGTTCGATCCAACTGCGGAGGTTAGTGATATTTTTGTTCATTGTTTCTTACTGAAGTTTGTTATCTCTTACACTGCCTTTGCTCAAACATACTAAAACAGGTGGACCCGGAGTTCGATTTGGATATTAGAGATGACGTGCAAGAAGAATGTTCCAAGTACGGCGTAGTGAAGCATGCTTATGTGGACAAGTAAGTATATATTTGATATTCTTTTATGAAGATGATGATACTGTGAGAGCGAGGAAGGGTTAGTCAAGTTGTTCATAAATTGACAATATGGACATTTGTGGAGGAAAGTTCTGCAGAATATCTGGTTAAACTTTAAAGGTTGCAAAGAAAAAATAAGACAATTTATTTTCTGAAATATATGATTGTTTTTTATTGTAAAGTGCAGATTGAAAAAAGATATGATCTTATTTTCTATTTTCAGTTAGTCACGATTGTGACAACCTAATTTTATTAATTTGTTTTCAACGGTTCACCAAAGGATCTTCGCAGTTCATTAGAAATGTCTTGACATGTTTATACTTTCACCTGTAACAATTCATGATCTGTTCTACTTGCTGGCTACCTCAGGAAAAGTAAACTCCATGATCAATTCTGATCTCATTATTCACTTTGTTAGCAGAACTGTGAATGCATAGATGATGGCTTATAATGATCTTCTTACTTTCCAGGAATAGTGCCGGATATGTATACTTGAGGTTTGAAAGTGTTGATGCAGCGTCACGTGCTCAACAAGCTATGCATAAAAGATGGTTTGCTCGTAGATTGATCTCAGCAATATTCTTGGTAATCACTTTTAAACATCCCTCTCTCCCTTGAAAGAGAACCAAGGGCTGGAAAATTGGTAACCTTATTTACGTTTTACTTGGGGGAAACCGAATAATTAACTTCTCAAATTTGTCACAGGTTACAAAATACCCATAGTGGCCATGTTTGTAGGTCTTTTTATTCCTCGGTACTAGTTCTGTGTACATTCCTCCTGGAGAATGCAACTGAGAACTTGGGGGAAATTTGATTCTTTTTCGATGTTAATGCTATATTTTAAAATATAGTTGAGTTCATGTTGGATAATCGGACTCTTGGATTTCAATCAGCTTTTAAAATCACTCGTTGAAGCAAAAGCTTTATCGCAAAAATTCCACTATGATTCTCATAGATAATTTTTGAAAACCACTTCTCTGAGGCCTTGCTTCTGAGTTCTGATCTTACTATCAGATGCTGAGTACTGCCTCGACTAGTGTTACAAGTATCAGAGCTGTCAAATGCAATAATACTGTAGCAACTACTCTGTCAAATGCAGTGAAAAGCATTCGGAGTGGACATCTAGCGTCCACACACCTGGTTATAGACAAATTTGTTTCTAAGTTGCCAGATTACACTGCTCTACGTTGTATTCTACAGCATTTATTTTTCCTCATAAATATGGTTATTGACAAATTTGTTTCTATCTTGACAGTTTACACTGATCTTCTTTGTATTCTACAGCATTTATTTTTCCTCATAAATTTTCTGCCATCACTGAAGTATGGGAGTTTGCCTTTTCTTTTTGCAGCAACCATATGAATACGATGCCAAGTTCAAGGGTGCTGCTTGAAAACACTTTTAATGGTGCTTCGTGGTGGATCTCATTGATATTTCTATTTGCTTGATGTACAAGTAACGCTGAAATGATTTTTTTGGTTGGTATCGGCTATGTTATGTAACTTAACCAATTCTTAGCGCTTTATTACTGTCCAGATAATCACTGCATAATTTTTGTTGCCTGTCATACATGTTGACATTACCCCCATAATTTTGGTATTATTTTCTTGTCTAGAGCAACCAACCAAGAGCATGGGATTTTATATACTGGCGTTGCTAAGCCGTAGAGTTATCTGGTGGTATGATGCACTTGGGTGCAAAAATATGTGCAGAGAAAACGAGGTTTTATAGTTGCTTAGAGTACTTGCTAAAAGTCAAACTACGGTGTCCACAAATTTCGTGGGACCTACATATATGATCTACACCACATTTTTATTTGTTTATTGTGTGTTCGACATATGAACTTGTAGATTCTATTGAGAATCGCGCTTGTTCACTGCGTGAGGGTGATTGCAATTTGGAAATTACATATTGTTATCACATGATCTATAATGATATTCTTATATTAGGTGGACCATGTATATCCCATTTTTCACAAAAATGGATTTTGTATTAGAACTAACATAAATTAGACTTGTCCACGTCGAAAGTTGGTTGGAGTGCCACATAAAACTATGTTCACTCTCGTGGACAAGAAAATGCTATAATGCTCGGTCACTGGGGGTGGGTGGCCAACAGAAGCGTTTCAATACTTGTCAGATTTTGTAGGCATTGATGGAGTTCAGACGGATAAAATATACAATAGATGGGAGGGGATTTGCTGTTCATTTTTGCTGTCTAATTTGTTGTACATTCAATTGTAAACTGACGTATCATGAAAAATTAAATTTGTCATCAATTTTAATTTTTTAATTTTGCACGATGTCACAATTTGTAATTATGTGGACAATAAATTGGACAACATAATCTGACGGTAAATCTCAACTCACAATAATAGCTTCCTTTTCTTACTTTCTAAGTTTCTATACCTGCATGTATCGACAAAGAAAATTGGGTGGACGGATTCATTGAGGGCAAGTATGCTAGGTGGACAAGAAAGGGCATTTCTTGCCTTTCAAGAAGGATATTTCATTGGGTGCAAGCTTATTGGGTCGACAAAAAAGGCAAAATGCAAAACTACGGCTCCTTTTTTAGTCCATTTTTTTTCAAAATATATTGTTCTCTATTTTTTTCAACCACATATTTGTCAATAAAATAATACTAAACGCAAATTAAAATTTTTTTTAATCATATATTATCCATCAATCTACTGTTTTAAAATGTATTTTATATATATAAAAAAAGAATTGGGGCTCGAACAAGCCCATAAGAGGTACTTTTATCATGCAAAAATGGATATAACCAAACTAGGGGTTCATTTAGCACGTCCGATTGAGTATAGTTTTTATCAGTTGAGCTTTCACCTATAGACAGTAAAACCTTTTCAAAAATAACTGTTACTAAAATATTGATGACAGTTAGGTTGTCAACAAAAAGTATCTTAAATATTAAGTCTCTTCCGGTTCCATTTTGTTAACATTTTACTTTCTAAGAAACGGGTGGTGAAAAAAGTTTGTAGTACAAAATGTTATTAAAATTAGGAATAATCTATTTGTACAAAATAGATTACATAATTTTTGACATAATCAACACGTGGCGGCCCCCTATTGGGGGGAGCCTATTATGTAAAGGATTAGGTAAAATATTTGATATGTGTAGCATTGTCCTTAAAATTAATGTTTGCCTTCGAAAAGTAATTTTTTAACAAAATGGAATGAATCCAAACAAAGGAAAGTTGTCTGTTTGCTATTTACCTGCACATTTTTTATATATTCATCCCTCCTAATATATTAAAATTTCAAAAAATTATTATTGTCGTCCACTTCACATTCCAATATTGTCCTTATTAAATACTGTATATCCACACAAATTTTATATATTCGTCACACTTTAAATACATCCCTAATACAATTTCCAAAATTTTAAAAAATCACTATATAACATCAACCTTCTTATAATTCAATAATTAATTCTATTGACAAAATATTATATTCAAAATAAAATTAAATGCCCCGTAGGTGTGTTATTTGCCACTTGAATTGGTTTGTTATATTTGATTACAAATATTCATTTTTGTATTCAATAAAAATTAACTTTTTATAATTTTGACATAAAATAAAATTTATATATGAATTTTGAAATAAAATTCACTTTGTCGTCATCTGATATGTAGCAAGGTAAAACCAGATACATGAAAATCTAGTACTTAATGTCCCAATAAAAGCTTGAGGTAATGTAAAGATTCTTCCACCTTGTTTAAGTCTGCAATGTACTTATTATTATTTCCATCAATTGACACTTAGAATCTATACTCAACACACCCAAAAAAACTTCTCGGTTGAACATAATGCGCAAAGTTAATTTAAGAACTTAAAAGTATATTATCATTTCACAAAAATGAGATTTTTATTATTTGTTGTGGTTGTTGAATGACCATATTCTCCAATGAATTACGGAGTAAATCTACAATCAAATCACAGCTTTAATCTCCTAGTCTGAAATAAAAATCCTCTAATGATATCTCTTCCATTGTAGTTTGATTTCAACTGAAGATGATATTTGATGATTGTTAGGATTTTATGATTTTAATGGAAGATGATATTTCATGATTATTAAATTTTAGTTAAAAACAAATTTTAAAAGAATATAAAAATGCTCAAAAGAATTTATTGAAAATAAATATGGGTTGATGAATTTAGAACGATATATTTTTATTTAAGTTTATATATGTGGTAAATTATCATTTAAAATATAATATAATTATCTTTTAGAAGTTGAATTATATATAAAAACTATAGCCACCTTATCATAGAACATTTTTGTAATATAAGATATTTTTAAGAAGTAGAATAATATACAAATTAACATACTAAAGATCATAATATGATCTTAAATTTCATTTTAAAAATACATATTCAAGCATTAGTCGAAATTATAATTATGCATGTCAAATGATTTTCTTTTAATTCAAAAATTAATTTTTTCTTCCAGATTTTAAGAATATTCGTGGAAATTATTTCTTGAAGTTAGTAACAGATTGTTCACTGACATGGTAAAACCTAACGTTATACAGATTATCGATAGATTTTCAATTGCTTCATGGAACTCCAGCATAAGAGAAGCTGTGAATCAAGGGCATGCCCAGAAGGCTCTTCTTCTTTTTCGCCAATTGAAACAGAACTCTTATGTACAGCCCAACAATTTAACCTTCCCCTTTATTGCAAAAGCTTGCGCAAAGCTCTCAAAGCTGAAGTACTCCCAGATGATTCATGCTAATGTTGCAAAATCGCCATTTTGTTCAGACGTTTATGTACAGACAGCTTTGGTTGACATGTATGTGAAATGCAGTTGCATAGATCATGCATACGAGCTGTTTGATAACATGGCTGAAAGAGATTTAGCGGCGTGGAATGTGATCATTACGGGTTTTGCTCAGTTGGGTTTTTTGGATAGAGTTTCATGTTTGTTCAAGGGGTTGAGGATGGATAACATCATGCCTGATGCAGTAACGATCATGGGGTTGACACAATTGGTGTCCGAGGTAAAGGATACGAGGTTGTTGAGCGCTGTGCATTGCTTTGGGATGAAATGTGGGTGTGGAGGGGATGTTACTGTTGCCAACACTTGGATTGCTGGCTATGCCAAATGTGGTGACCTGTTCTCGGCTGAGATGGTGTTTTTTGGTATTGGCATCGATGCTTTGACTGTGGTTTCTTGGAATGCTATGATTGTGGGATGTGCTTGTGTTGAGGAACCGGTGAAGGCTCTTGGGGTGTACCAACATATGCTTCTTGACGGATTTAGGCCTGATTTGTGCACCATTCTCAATTTGCTCTCCTCATGTACTCAGACTAATTCTTTATGTTATGGTATGCTAATTCATGCTCATGGAATAAAAGTGGGGTGTGATGAGAATATTGCTGTGCTTAATACCCTTATTTCCATGTATTCCAAGTGTGGAAATGTTGACATGGGAAGAAGTGTATTTAGTAGCATGACTGAGAGAACACCGGTTTCATGGACTGCTATGATTGGAGGGTATTCTGCAAAAGGTGATTTGGAGGAGGCATTATCTTTGTTCCATGCTATGGAGGCTTCTGGGAAGACACCTGATTTTGTTACCGTGATTCATTTGATTTCAGCCTGCGGCCAAATTGGAGCACTCGAGGTTGGGAAATGGATTGATAATTACACCATTTTGAAGGGGTTGAAAAGCAATGTGATGGTATGTAATGCATTGCTAGACATGTATGCAAAATGTGGAAGTTTAAGAGATGCTCAGGAACTCTTCGGTACTATGCAAGGGAAGACTGTGGTCTCTTGGACAACTATGATAGCAGGATATGCACTAAATGGAAAAACACAAGCAGCTTTAGATTATTTTCACCGAATGTTAAAGTTGGGTTTGAAACCAAATCACGTAACTTTCCTCGCTGTTCTTCAAGCCTGCACTCATGCGGGTCTGTTAAATGTAGGGCAGGAAATTTTTGATATGATGATTAAAGTGTATGGAATAAATCCCGGACTAGACCATTATGCTTGCATGACTGACCTCCTTGGACGCCAAGGAAGACTGAAAGAAGCATTGAACTTTATTCAAGATATGCCTATCAAACCAGATGCTGGAATTTGGGGTGCTTTCCTTTTTGCTTGCAAGATTCATCACAACCTAGAGTTCGGTGTGTATGCTACACATTGTCTTTTGCAACTTGAACCAGAGGCTGCAGCTCCTTATGTCGAAATGGCAAATATATACGCATCAGCAGAAGAGTGGGATGGGGTTGCTGCAATGCGGATGAAAATGAAACGCAATCAAGTGACAAAATCCCCAGGGCAAAGTGCAATACTAGTGAATGGAAAAAGTTATGGTTTTACTGTAGAAGATAGACACCATTCTCAGGGCTCTCAATCGTTTGACACATTGGATAGCTTAGTTTCACAGTTGAAAGATGGAGTACATTTATTTTGTCCCCCAGAACTTATGGATTCATGAATTGGCCACGAGAAAACGACATAAGAAAGCTGGATTGGAGAGAATTTTGTAACCGTATGAGAGCAAGATGGAGTATCAATCAGAATCAGAAAGGTAACACTATTGCAATCATTATGCTGTGCACTCCTGTAAACAGTTACAGATTTCAATATGCTAACCTATACTCAATGACAAAAATATTCCAGCCTCAGCAGCTGGAGATTACACTGCAGCCCCACTTTATGAGTCTAGCTAAATTTTATGATGTTACTTACCATAAGAAGCCAAAAGGAGAAGATTGATAGTTTTTGTCCTTTTTAATTATTGACGCCACTTCGAAAGCAATTACATTGCCATACAAAAATGAATTGAAAAAGTAACAAAAACTTTGAAGGACGTGGTCCTACAACGATCTTTCATTCAAATGCTGCTTTTAGTGGTCCCTGGATATGACTTATAAGAGTATAAAATGGTTATAAAAGATGAGTTTCAAGCATAGTTCACATCAAGTTGTAACTCAAATAGGAGATTTGGACCGATACATGATTTCTCAATGTTTTCTTTAGTTGCATTCACTGTATTTTCCAACTAATGGTTCACAGCTGCGTTAATTTGGTGATTTAGTCTATTAATTCATACATTTTGTCATTGGTTTTTGACGGCTGGCAAATTTTTTATGTTTGAGCACAGGTAATAGAAGCATTTTAGCGCTATTACTGATTTCTGACAGGATTGCATGGCACTGATGTGAATCACGTCGTCTTTGAACCAGAAACTGAAGCTGTAGCTTGCATATATACAGACAGGCAGTGGCCTTAATAGGAGTGGTTGGGAGAAGCAATTAGGGGACAGAATTGGGCATTTTTTTCTGTAACTAAAGACAGCTAAAGCTCGAATATGGTTGGCGAATATCTATAGGCCAACTCCAAGGGGCATACTTCCACATCTGCGTATTCGCAGCCTAAGTGAACTTCGGGTAGCTTGTATGATGCCAAAGTGAAGAAAAGAAGTGTCAGGCTCGACTGTTAGCTCTTCTCCCTACTTATAAGTGAAATCCCCGTAAATGGAATGAAAGCACACCATTCCAAAAAGAAAGGGGCCGTGTAGTCTCCTAAACAGGCGAAGCAAAGTATCCATAAAAGGATAGGCTTTAAGGCCCGATCAAACTTATTTAGGCAGAATTCCATGCTTTACGCCCGGTCTGCAACGAGCCCTTACGTTAAGTTAGTCGGGCTTCCCCCTTTTTCGTGCAACTATCCAAGTTAGAGTGCAAGCCCCGGGCATCTTGATATATGAAAATGTGATACACCATGGAACCTTGATGTATGAAAATATGATACACCATGGAATTGGAGTCTACATGAAAGTTGTGTCTCACAACTGGGCAATAAAATGTTAATCCTATATGAGACAACATTTTTTCAATTGCTACTGCCTTTCCAATTCTACCATTATCTTCTAAACATGATCTGATTTTCTATCTCCTTGTTACATTCATGGGATAAAATTTTGGAAAAAGTTATTTGATTAACCACATTTTTATATACAATTCTAAATTTTATAAACCAGGTTAGTCCTTGTACATGACGTT